CATCACATATCCATGTATGTCGTAGTAAGAAGCAATTTCTTTAATTTTACTTGTTATAATTTATCCAGAGACTGAGGACATGTAAAAACAAAGGCATTCTCACAACTTGTTCTCTTTCTGAAGTACAAACTTCTGTAGCTCTCTCTTTTTCTCAAACACACATATATCTATACATTTTAACCTCAATGACTATCAAATCTGGCTAGGTCTGAATTCCAGAATAGTTCACTCTCTCTGATGGCTCTACAGTTCTCATCCACTTGTAACTTCTGACAATATTGGCCAGCCCCAACAAGTGTCCTCCACTTATCCAATTCACATGGAAACTTATTCTTGTTTTAAGTACCATTGTTGCACTGAGAACTGGCTGCTGTTGAGTAGGAGAACTTTATTCTACATCAGGGGTGTCAAACTCGCAACGTCACGTGACGTGTTGCGACGTATCGTGACTTTTTTGCCATTGCTGGCCATGGGGTGGGCATGATTTTGCTATGATGCATCCGGCCCACAGGCCAACAGTTTGATACCCCTGTTCTACATGTTCCATTAGCTGAAATTCAGTAGAATAAATTTTTACTCCTCTGTGACCTACTTTGAATGGGCTTAATGTATTCCATCTTTGATAAATGTCCATTCATACTTTTTCATGAATACAGGACACAAGATACATGATATGTCAATAGATATGATAACAATGTAATAGTAACTACTAATGGTGACAAAGGTAGTCAGTATTGTTTCCTTGCCCAATCTGATGTAGGGAACCAGATGCTAGACTAGGCCTAAGGGGATCCATATTCCAGTTTCTCCTTGGTTGTGGAAACATACTAGGTGATTTTTCGTTAGTCCATCCCTCTTTGATCAACCCCAAAGGGTTTCTGTGGAAAACCATTAAGAAAGGGATGTTATATATGCTGCAAGGTGCAATTATTCAGATAGGGGTGATAATTCAGCACACAAAAGGTGGAAAAGGATTGTCCACATGCTTTACTGGTTTTATTTTATGTCTTGCCATTCTCCCAGTGCCTAACTTGTAATTCTGTCCAGTGAGATTGAACAAATAATAAGGTATATTTCCCCCATATTGCAGAATGGTTTAAAATGTTATTTTTATCATAGAACTTAGTTTACTGAGCTACAATCATATATTTATCTTAAAATGGCAGCTCCTGCCCACCCTTGATATGGAAGGTAAGTAGAGTCAGATCTGATTAGTATTTAGGAATAGGTAAGGCCAACATAAAACTTCAGGTTTATAGCTTGAATGGCAACTTTAGAAGAAAAAATAAAATAAATGCTGGAAGAGAGGAGTGTAGAATGGGTTCCATAATATTGCCAAAATGTTAGACTGCATGAAATCCATAAAATCACCAGAAGCCAAGCTTAATTTCAACCTAGCCTTTAGCACGACACTAGAAAACCAGAGCACTTGAGATATTTCCTTACCTAAACAGAGAAACAGAATGACGCTATTTGGGCAAAAAAGCAGTGGGAATGGAAGCAACTTCTGACTTCCTGCCAGCTTCCCCACTGAGTTTCCTTACAGGAAGCTGGCAGGAAGCATCAGAAGTCCTCCCTCCTTTCCTCCCTTCTTCCCTTCCTCCCTCACACCCTCCCTCATTTTCTACTGGCTTGTGGGCTTCTCTTCCTTTGCTTGTGGGAAGCTTGCAAGGAGAAAGTCAGTGGGGAAGTCAGCAAGAAGTCGCAATTCCAAGACCAGCAGGCAGATAAGTGGCTGCTGCCAGATGGGGAAGAGACCATTGGGGTGCACAGAGTCAGGAATGGTATATGGGGTACATGAAAGATACTGTGTGGGCTGGAAAGGGTGCATGGGTATGCACCAGATATGTCACATACTGAGAGCCAGTATCATTGCAAATTTGGAAATATCTAGTTTCAGTGTCAAAAATTACCTGAAGACAAGGTAACATAGAAAAAAATAATTTGCATTTCTTTTATTTTTTTTCTTGCCATCTTATTACATATTATTGGCACTAGGTTGCAGAATGCCCAGTGTGCAGCTTTTCCTAGAGGATTTAAATTATTTAGGAGCATTTCTTCTGTGCCTGAATATAATTAACTCTTCAGACATTACAGTGTTAACATGAATAAAGTCTTTGTGATGTGGTATGAGAAAAGGTCTTAATTTAACGAGTTTAATGAGGATTACATCTGGATTGTTGCAATTGGAGGCTTTGAATGTTTAGATCTAAAAATGATAACTCATGGATGATTTTCTGTTCCAATTTAAATGACATTTTAAATTCTACTACTACGTTTTATTTTAATGCCTCAAGAAACCTTGAATATTGCAATGTACTGAGCTAAATAAATAAGCATTCCTCATCTTATGGAAATTTTTAGAAATACATTATTAGTGGTGTCATATAGAATGAATATTGGGAAATACATAAAAAGATGTTGTTGATCTTTTGGCTGAGGACTTATTTCAAGAAATGTTTCTATGGAAAGTGCAAAAGTATTTTCACAAAGCAAAAGGTGATGCTATTTCAGCTTTGGAATATCTTTCTCAAAGAGATGTGCATTGTACCAACTTTCAGCACCTTTAAAAACATTTTTAATTAGCCATATATTTTAATTTAAATAATTACTCCGCCTCCCTCGTAATTTGTCTGTAAGAGTATATATTGCACGTGCGTGCCTGCTATTTTTTCATTATGTTTGCTCAAAATTTGGGAGAAAGCCAGTGGAGTCTATCCAGCAACAAATAGCATCCAAGAAAAGTTCCACATTTACCCTGCAGTCCCAAATCTTTGCAGAGCTGAAAACATTCCTGGGGGAATTTGTGAGGCTGTAGGGACAGGGAGAGAAAAAAAAGCAAACATCCTTTTGTTATTCAGTCCATTCCTGTACTTTGAGATGTTGCTCTCCCATTTTTCTGCAATATGTTCCATTTCAAGTAGTTCACAGTCTACATTGGGATGTCTAACTGAGGCAACTTTAAAACCTGTGAGTTTCAACTCCCAAAGTTCATGCTGGCTGGAGAATTCTGGGAGTTGAAGTCCACAAGTCTTAAAGTTGCCAAGGTCGGATATCCCTGGTCTACATTATTGTACAATTCTCACTTGAGGAAATGTTGTACAGGGATTTAATTGGTAATATAAGTACCCCTTGCTTTCAATTCAGTATGTTATCATCAACAGCTAAAAATGGAAAAGAACTGTTTCAGGGAAAGTACTTGTTTCCATTTAGAAACTCCCACCTTGCCAAGTGGGCAGCACAGTGGCTCAGCAGTTAAGATGCTGGCATTGTTGGCTGGAAAGCCAGCAGCCCAGGTTCAAAACCCAAGTGTCTCATGATAGGGTGAACTCCTGTCCTCGCCTCAGCTCCTGCCAACTAGCAGGTCAAAAACATGCAAATGCGAGTAAATAAATAGGTATCCCTTTGGTGGGAAGGTAACAGTGCTCCGTGATGTCATGCTGGCCACATGACTGTGGAAATGTCTTTGGACAACATTGGCTCAATGACCTTGAAATGGAGATTAGCATCGTATCCTGTAGACAGCAACGATTAGCGGAGTAAAATCCACAGGGACTCCTTTACCTTTACCTTGCCAAGTAGGACTGAGAAAAATCCTTGTCTGGAAATACGGAGACACAAGTCAATCAGGACTGAGCTGAATGGTTGAAGGATCTTCTAACACATGGGGTTCCCAACCAGGGGTGATTGCACCCCCCTCCCCCCCAGGGTTGCAAGACTATATTCCAGGGGGTGCAAAAACTTGGGTTTTCAAAATTATAGTGTTTGTGTATAATTCGTTGCTGTTATTTCAAACTTTTGTAAGAGGTACAAGAATATATCAGAAGCGTTCTAGGGTTGCAGGTTATAAAAAAGATTGAGAACCACTATTCTAACACAAGGACTGCAATGATCTGCTTAGCATACGGCACTCAATGCTTGGATCCTAGGAATGTGAGACAATTAACAACCAGCTCAGCTCCTGTTCAAAGCAAAATATTGTGAAAGCAGTTTTGTAATGTGTTTGATGGAGGTCCAGCACAGGGAACAGTGGTGGTCATGATGATGATGTTGACAACAACAACAACAACCAAAATATTATTCCAGATATTAAGGATTGGATTTAGGAGATTGTAATCCATGTGTCCAGGATGCAATATGTTACCTGTTGGTACAGCTTTCATAATATTTTACAACAATAGGCTACAGGTAGTCCTTGACTCACAACCATTTGTTTAGCGACTGTTCAAAGAAGAGTACTAAAAAAGTGGCTTGTGGTCGTTTTTCACATGACCATTGCAGCATCCTCATGATCATGTGATAAAAATTCAGACGCTTGGCAACTGGTTCATATTTATGGAGGTTGCAGTGTCCTGGAGGTCATGAGATCACCTTTTGCAACCTTTTGACAAGCAAAGTCAATGGGGAAGCCAGATTCACTTAACAACTGTGTTATTAACTTAACAACTGCAGTGATTCACTTAACAATTATGGCAAGAAAGGTGATAAAATGGAGCAAAACTCACTTAACAGTTTTCTCACTTAGCAACAGAAATTCGGCTCGGTTCTGGGTCGTAATTGACTACTGTCTGTCCTCCCCAGTCATGAGGGGCTGTTTTATCAGTCCACCTCAATGGCCAATTAGATTCTCATTTTTTCCTTCGATGCCAAAACACAGTAGGGGAATAAGGAACCTGGGGTCTGCTCGATGACTGATGGCTGTTTTTTTTTTTTTTTTTTTTGCTCTTTTCTGTTGGTAGCTCTGGAAAGAGTACTGGGTGGGAGAATGTATGAGCACCAGGGACACCGCTGAGGTGGGAAAAACCTGCTTCCAAAATTTGAAAGGGGAGGCTAATGGCGGTACAGAAATGCTCTCAGTTCCTTTGATGGGCAACCTATCTCAGTGGTGCTGAAGATAAGGTGTAATTTCTAAGTGCTTTGGGCTCTTGAGGGCCAAGGAGACAGCAGAGGGGGGGAAGAACTATGCCAAGTTACAGGGGAATCTTTGTTTCTAACTTTAGGCCCTTCTTCAGTTATCAGCAATGACGACGATTCGGCAAGTCCTCTTCATCACATCTCTAATGGAAGCAACACGCCATCTTCTTCTGAGGGAGGCCCAGATGCAGTAATTATTGGAATGACAAAGATTCCTGTAATTGAAAATCCTCAATATTTTGGAATTACAAACAGTCAACTCAAGCCTGACACATGTAAGTACATACTTACATATATTTATATTTATGTATGTCTATAGATAATTAGATGACTCCCCAAGTGCATGTAATTTATGATTTATTTTCCCCCTTTCTGCTATTGATTATGAATGCTAAGTAACAGCCTATCCATATAACCATAAACATATTTCTTCATATTGCAACCTATGGGGCTTAATAAAATTTATTTTATCAGGTGTGGTTAAGGTTGCCCCATTGTTAACATTTTCAGATGAAATAAATCCAATATATGAATTCTAATTATCTTTTATTTCTTTGGCCAGATGATTAACAAACATTGACCTTTAAAGTTTAAAATGTGGGTTTTTTTGAATGAATATAATTACACATTCAGCAGGTGAAGTAAGTTTTAGTGATTGTTAAATCTGTTGAACAGTGAAGGTCAAATGGTGATCAAACTGTGATACATGTTTCAAGTGAAATCAGAGATATTTGAGCAGATAAAAAGGATAGTTGACTCCATAGACTTTGAGGTAAAACCAATAGCAGACATATACACATTTCTATCACCGGTTCCCTTTGGGGATAAGCAACATTATTTAAAGTATAGAAAGTGAATAAGAAATTTTGAGCCAAAGAAAGGCACAATAATGGCATAAGAAAATAAATAAAACATTACTAGTTTACATCAATAACACTCTCAGTGCGTTAATATCTTCCTTCCTAGAAAATCATATTTACTTTCACCATATCCATGCACTGAATTGGACATTGCTTTTTTGTTCTCCAAAATTCTTACCTTTCTCCCTTTTTGAGGATTTGATCAGTTGCATCTGACAGAGAGTCTTCCTCTTTCCACTTTGCTTTCCCTCTAACCTCTCCTTCCTAGTACCCATTTGTTTTGTGTTCATATATTCTCTCCATAGCCTATAATATCTTTTGCAACAACAATTCGTTTTTGTATTCAATGCACACTCATTCATATTCATTAATTTCTAGCCCTGTCCCTTTTTTTAGCACCCACTTTCTTTAGGCTGCCATGACCACCGTCTCTGCCTTATTCCTATGTTATTCCTAACATAAAAGTAGTCCTCAACTTACAACAGTTCTTTTAGTGACCATTCAAAGTTACACTGGCACTGAAAAAAGTGATACGATCATTTTTTACACTTAATGACAGCTATAGCATACCCATGGCCACGTGATCAAAATGCAGATACTTGGCAACTGTTTCATGTTTATGACGGCTCGGCGTCCCAGGGTCATGTGATCAACCTTTTGCGATCTTCTGACAAGCAAAGTCAACAGGGAAGCCAGATTCACTGAACAACCGTGTTACTAACGTAACAACTACAATGATTCATTTAATAACTGTGGCAAGAAAGGTAAATTGTGACTGTAAGTTGAGGACTAGCCATACTTACTATCACTTCCATATAACTGAATGGGCAAAACCACTTTCATGTAATTAATTTAACTTCTTTTGACGTACGTTCTTCCTTTATAATAATACACCACTTACTATCTTCCAGCATTTACACATCTTAAAAAAATTTCCATCTTATCTTTAATGAACCTTCTACTTGCTCAGGTTTTTCTTTTTAGCCATTCATCTTTAACAATTCTTCACTCCATATTCTCTGTGGAAAACAGCCACCATGATCTCAGACTTAAGCATTTTCAGATCCATCCTACAGTCTAATGTTGAAAATATCTATCAACAACACTGTATCATGTTGCATACATAAGTACACAAATATTCCCATCCCCAATGAGCACATTTCTACCATCACTGCAAGCATTTCTTAACCACAGACATATCTGAAATACATTTAAACAACCATGGAAACATCATATATCCTTGTCTTAAGCCTTACTCAGTGCAGCATGTTTGCTAAGCGTCCTGTTTATTCTCATACATCCTTTGCTTCCATCATATAAGGCCCTTAATGCATTCGAGAACTAACCTTCAACTCCACATTTGCATAAGACATTCTGTAATTTAAGCCTACTCACTTTATCACACGTATTCTATAAATCAACAAAAGTACAAGGCTTGTCACAGCTATACAATTCACAGGGTCCTGTTGAACAGAAAAATCAATTCAGCATGAAGTGAAGTACATTTCCCAGATTTTGCTCATGGCCACCTGTATGGCCAGAATTTTGCCAAACACATTTGCAGGCACATTTAGCAGGTTAACGAACTAATTTTCCCTGTAGTTCTGGCATTTACACATGTTACCCTACGTTTTGTATGGGGGATGAGCATTCTTCCAGTTGTCAAACACAGAGGCTACCTTTGTGCACACTTGAAACAAGTTGCACTGCCATTCTGTAAGTAAATCACATATGTATTTTAATGGTTTCCATCTTCACTTGCAGCCTTATATTAATTTTTCAACATTTTTCATAGCATTTCTGTTTAGTTTTTATCCACTTTTGGCGGGGGGCACAAGAATTTGCGGCATTCAGAGGAATGTCATACCACTATTGTTCCCATGCATTCTACCTCTTCGAGTTCATTCCAAATCTTTTTTTTCATTTGGTTTTTCCTTCAATTAACCTTGCTAGCAGGTCCCAGTTTAGCTGTGTCCCATCCAGTTCCTCACAGCTTCTAGAAACCAGATAATGACCTCTCCCAGTGGAGAATCCATGCAGAATTTAAATAGCATTGGGAGACCACTCAAGGAGTTAAGGGCTGAACTGCTGCTCCTTAATAAATAATGGCTAAAACTGTCCAGTCAATAAGGAGCAAAAAGAGTGTCTCCCATCCCATCCTTTACCAGGACAGCAGCATGGCCAATGGTTCTGAACACCACCAAGAGGTGTAATAGGATCAGGAAGATTATTTTTGGTCACCCAGGTCCTTAATAAAGATACATACCAAAACAACTAGTGCTGTTTACGCCTATGTTCAGATCTGAACCCTAACTGAAAAGGCATGTTCTTCACATAATTGGATTATAGATCATTATCTGTGACCCATCACACTTTAGTTGCCCAAGATTTTCAAATATTAATAAAGGACAGATTATAGCCTTGGTTATGCCCATCGTATTTGCATCATTTCCTGATAACAGTATGAGCAATGTTGATATGTTTTGCCAATTTGGGGCAATACGCCAGAAGTGTAACCAAAGCCCACTTCCACCCCAAGTTGCTCATGCTTGTTTATGCACACTGAATCTCCAATCTAAACACTAACCTGGATTTTACTGACATTCCACTAAAATGAAACCATATGCAGCATACCGATGCATGCTCAGGCAATCTCTAGTAAACTTTTAATTTATTTCAGTGATATAAATTTACAACTTCATAAAATAAAAATGAAACATTTATTGAACTGTATATCTCCACATGCTGGTAGAGATATTACAGATGTGCTTATATTTCCAAGAGAAATTGAATCAATAGCATCTTCAGCTCAAAACAGGCAAGATGGTGCTTTTGAAACACAATTGAAACCCTGCCCTTTTGTATATTTGTACATCTCAAAGGATTGGATTGGAGTGCCACAACTGGCATTGTTCCTGTTTTGACCACCCTGGTTGATGCTACTAAGTTGCACCAACCTAACTGTAATCAATGTCAGTGGATCCCCAATCTTCAGTAATAGTGTTAGTTTACATGATCAATAGGTGTTAGTTGTGGTTCTTGTAGAAATGAATGTTTTGCCTATTTCAATTGTGTTAAAAATCTTAACCCACAAAATACATTACACTGGAAACAGAACAAATTACAAAAGCTGTATCGGTATTTTTCCGATGACAGATTTTGACATGTGCATTTACACAGACTGTAAAATAAACAGGTATGTGAATACCAAATAAGTTCACTTCGTAATAAGGACAGCTTATACTATAGCCATAAATAAGAATTTAAAGAATTGTTGCTTGATTTGGAACTTATATTCCTTGCTAAGCAAGTAGAAACTGATGTATATGCTTACTTGGACTCAGAAGACTAAGCTTGACTCCCATGCCTGAGTCACTCCCCCCCCCCCAAAAAAAATTGCAACTGTCCTCTAAATTGTGACCCTAGCTTCATGCCAATAAAAATACTACTACTACTTAAACCAAAAGAGGAAGAAACCTAAGAAAATAAGTTAAAAGAAACTTCATATTATTAAAACCATTAAATAATATCATATTGGATAACCCTATCAAAATTCATTTATTCTCAACACACAATCTTGAACAGTAATCAGTCAGAGTGGTCCTTTCCTTTCCTTTCCTTTCCTTTCCTTTCCTTTCTTTCCCCACAAAGAATGGCTATTTTTTAATGAACATCAGAAGCTGGGAAGGCAGTGAATTGTGCACATAAATTTGAGTCTAACTATTTAATTAACCTTCTTTTCAAGATGTCCAACATGTACAGGATTATCACAAATAAGCCAGATTTTTCCAAAACAAATCAAAGCACCAGCTCTTCATCTCTAAACTTTTAATTACTTTAATTTTATTACTTAATTACATTAATCCAACCAGAGTAAATATTTCCACATATTGAAATCTGTTCCTACAAGTGGTTTTTCTTGATCTTGTTTAAGGGAGATGAAATGGTTGTCCTCAGAGCAGAAAAAAACAAGCCCCAGAGATGGAGGAGAAATTCATTCCATCCAAATTCCTAGATAATTTATTCAAATAAACTTCCAAAACTGAAGCACAAATTTCAAAGGAATTCCATGTCAATTATGTATTTATGAGGAATTTTGCAATGCAGTTGCCACCTCAGTTGTACTCAAAAGCCGTCCACTCAGATTGTGCATGGTGTATTGTTTATGTATAATAGACAGTGGCTCCAACTCGTCCAGATAATCTCCTTCAACTCAAAAAAAAGCCTGTTCTTTCAGAATTACTCTAGTATCCAATATGTGGCAGCTGCCAATATTTTCCAATAAATGGAATCTACGGTCCTTCTTGGCGAACATGTTGACTCAAATATATACAGGTGGTCCTCCACTTATGATCATAGTTGAGCCCAAAATTTCCATTGCTAAGCAAGACAGTTTTTAAGTGGGTTTTGCCCCA